CTATTAAAAAAGTGGGCAAAGTACATGAACAGACACTTCTCAAAAGAAGACACACATGCAACCAACAATCATATGAAAAAAAGCTCAACATCACTGACCATTAAAGAAATGCAAATCAAAACTACAATGAGATACCATCTCACACCAATCAGAATGGCCATTATTCAAAAGATACTGGTGAGGTTGTGGAGAAAAAGGAACACTTACTGCTGATGGGAGTGCAATTAGTTCAACCATTGTGGAAGACAGCGTGGCGATTCCTCAAAGACCTAAAGATGGGAATACCATTCAACCCAGCAATCCCATAACTGGATATATACCCAAAGGAATAGAAATTGTTCTATTATAAAGACACATGCATGCCTAGGTTCATTGCAGCACTATTCACAGTAGCAAAGACATGAATCAACTAAATACCCATCAGTGATAGACTGGATAAAGAAAAGGTGATACATATACACCACAGGATACCATTCAGCCATTAAAAAAAAGAATGAGATCATGTCCTTTGCAAGGACATGGATGTGTGCATGTAAAAATTCTCCTCAATAAATAATTTGGATAACTTTCTAACACAGCCTAGGCTCCAGAGTTCAGAGTCCCATGCAATAGTGTAATGCTGCGGTAATACTGTCCTTAGCAAACTAACACAGAAACATGAAACCAAATACTGCTAGATTCTTACTTAAAGTGGGAGCTAAATGATGATAACACATGGACACATGGAGGGGAACAACACACACTGGGACCTATCGGAGGGTGGGGGTGGGAGGAGGGAGAGGATCAGGAAAAACAAGTAATGAGTACTCGGCTTAATACCTGCGTGATGAAATAATCTGTCCAACAAACCCCCGTAACACATGTTTACCTATATAACAAATCTGCACATGTATCCCTGAACTTAAAAGAAAATAGAGCCAATTATCTAATAAAGTCACCATTAGATCTTTGTAATAAAACCACACCATTCAGAAAATGGAATAAAATGCAGCTATTTAACATAAAGAATAAGCTTTATGTGTATTAAGATATCACACTATATTAAGTTTTTTAAATCTGGTTGCAATTCGTACAAAAATAGAAACACAGGCTTGGCACGGTGGCTCACATCTGTTATCCCAGCACTTTGGGAGGCCAAGGTAGGTGGATTACTTGAGGCCAGGAGTTCCAGACCATCCTGGCCAATGTGGTGAAACCCTGTCCCTACTAAAAGTACAAAAATTAGCCAGGCATGGTGATGCGTGCCTGTAGTCCCAGCTACTCAGGAGGCTGAGGCACGAGAATCATTTGAACCCAGAAGGCAGAGGTTACAGTGAGTTAAGATCACACCACTGCACTTCAGCCTGGGCAACAGAGCAGACAAAAAAAAAAAAGAAGGAAAGAAAGAAACACTGAAATGGAATTTATTCTGGAAAATTTGTTGGAGAGCTGGAGGAGACCTAGATTTTAATTTACTTATTAATGTTATTTTTGTAATTTGGAAAATATCATTTATATAAAATAGAGTATCTTATTTTCTATAATAGATGGACAGGCTTTCAGTTCGTATACCTACACAAAAACATATTGAATCATGGGTTTACAAATTTAAAAGAGGTGGGGGTAGAGACACCTTTTTTTAACCCCAAATGAAATTATCTTCTTAATCACGAGACCGTATCTGCCAACCCCAACTTTTATGGGCATTTTAAGGCACAGATTTGGCTTGAACATTATTTCTTGAAAGTATCTAATGAGCTCATTCGGTTTGGACTATAATTGATTCCCAGCCTTTAAGTTCAGGATTGAGGCAAGGCTCCTAAAAGGAAAAAAACAATAATGTGTCTCCAAATAAGTCTATCTACATAAGGAAGAAGATAATACAAGTTGTTACAAACAGTATCGCTGAACTTTTGCTTTCAACCAAAGATGGGATTTATCTTCTCGACTTAAATAACCAGAACACCAGAAAAAAATATATGAAACAATAGTTATCAGACACTGAACAATAGACAACACAGAGCAGTCATCCATAAGAGAAGAGAAACAAGTGAGGCAAACCCTACGATTGCCCCAGCATACTCTCTGGATAGAATTTCCAGGTCAAGATCCTGAAGGAAAAATTAAAACAAAGCCTAGGAGTCTCCCTGAGTTGAGACAGAACTCAGAGTTTGTGAAGGCCAAAGCTGCTAGAATTCACAGCATGGAGTACCAGAGAGGAGAGCTGCATAGAGACAGGACTGCGGAAATACGAACAAGGATTTCCCTAAAGTCTTTGGTTGATAGCACACATATGTAATGAAACAACCAAGGCCAAGAAAATAACCAACAGAAAGCAGTAGCGCCAGGTAAAGTTCGTGTTCCCACCAGCCCAAGTGGAGACACCTCCTAATACACAGGGCATTGAGTAGTGCACTCAGAAGCATATTGCCTCAGTAGTGGGGCCAAATTCAAAATAGACTGAAAGCACTTGTGGAATTACCCTAACACTTAAAGCAAGCTTTAAAATGATCACCCTGTTTCCAACTATCATAACTGAATCCCAGAAAAAGGCTAAGGAAAAAATTTAAAGAACACCAGAAAAGAGAGAAAGAAGAGAAAAATTCAGCAGCAAGCAATGTAAAATTCACAATGTTTGGCATCCAATCAAAAATTACCAGGCATACAAAGAAGCAGGAAAATATAATGCATAACCAAGAGAAAACATAGTAAAGACAGACACAGAAATGACACAGATGAGAGAATCAGCAGAGAAGACCTTAAAACAGTTATTTTAAATATTCATCATGTATTCAAAAGGTACAAGAAAGCATGAACCAAGATGGGGAAAGAAATGGAAGGAGAGATCCAAATCTAACTTCTAACCATAAAGAATACCATGTACAAAATGTAGCTATAAGTAATAGATTGGATTGACAGCAGCTAAGACACTGAAAAAGAAAATTTAGGTGAATTTGAAGACACAGTAATATAACAATACAAAATGAAATACAGAGAAAAAATAGACTGAAAAGGAAAGCAGAGAATCAATGAGGCTTGAACAATATCAAGCAGTCAAAGAATCATGGAAGAGGAGAAAACGGATGAGGAAACAGAAGAAATACTTGAATAAAGGTTAAAAATTTGTCAAATTTGATGAAATCTCAAAATCCAAAAATCCAAGAATCACAGTTAACCCCAAGTGGAAAAAAAAATCATACCAAGAGACATTATCATCAAACTTATTAAAACTATTAATAAAGAGAAAAAAAGTTTAAAACAGCCAGAGGAAAAAAAGAAAAATTATATAGAAGAAGAAGAAAAAAGGACAGCAAATGTATCATTAGAAACAATGGAAGCCAGAAGTTTAAAAATGTCCTTTATGGAGAAGGAATGGTATCCTTTGGAAATATGGGTTTATACAGCAGAATAAAGAATACTGGAAATGGCAAATATATGTGTAAATATTCAAGATTTTTTCAAATATATTTAAAATATAATTATATAAAGGGAACATAATCACAATCATTTATGGATTTTTATACCACACAGAAAAGTAAAATATACTACAACACTAGGACAAGGGTGGGGTTGGATGCAAGTATTCTTTTGAAAGGTTCTCATACCATATATAAAATGCTATAATATTACTTGACAGTAGGCTCTGATAAGTTAAACCGGTATACTGGAAAGCTACAGTTTCCACAAAACCAAACCAAACAAAACAAAAAGCAAGATAGAAAGAATGAGCAAGGGGATATTTAAAAAACAGCAAGCTGGAAAATTTAAGCAGAAACAAATTTTTAAAATCACATTAAAAGTGAATTGTATAAACATACTAAACAAAAGTAATTGTTGGCTGGATAAAATTTCTATGCAGTCTATAGGAAAACTCAGACAAGTAGAAAGTCCAAGAATGGAAAAACATATACTATTGCAAGTCAAAGGGATGCTTGAGTAGCTACCATAATATCAGACAGAGTAGAATCTAGAGCAAAGAATTTTAAAAGGAATAAAGAATGTTATTTTGTAGTGATGAAGTGATCTGTTTTTCAAGAAGATATAACAATCCTAAATGCTATGCACCTACAAACAGATCTTCAAAATACATAAAGCAAAAACTCTTTTAACTGAAAGAAAAAATAGCCAAATCCACAATTACAGTCAGAGATCTTAACATCTCTTTTTCAATAATTAATAGAATAGACAAAATCAGAAGGATACAGTACATTTGAAGATACTTTCAGTTTGACATAATTGTCATTTATAGAACACTCCAGGCAACAGTGGCACAATATACTTTCTTTTCAAGTGTATACGGAACATTTACTAAAATAGAACATACTTTGTGCCATAAAACAAATGTCAGAAAATTTAAAAGAATTGAAATCATACAAAGTATATTCTCTAACCACAATGGAAATATATCTGAAATCAATTAGATATCTGGAAAATCCCAAATCTATGAAAACTAAACATGTATAAACAAACTTCTAAATCAAAGAAGACTTCAAAAGTATTAAAGTTCAAAATAAAAAACCTAAACTTGTACCTTAAGAAAGTAAAAAAAGAAAAACAAATTAAAACCAAAGTAAGAAGAAATAGTAAAAATAAGTGCAGATATCATTGAAATGGAAAACATGAACACTGGAAAATATTAATGAAATTCTGGTTCTATGAGAAGATTGATAAAATTAATAGACCCCTCGCCAGACTGATCAGCAGAGAGAGAAAGAGAGAGAAAGACAGAGAACACAAATTACTAACATCAAGAATGAGAGGAGTGACATCACTATCAATGCTACAGATGTTCAAAGGATAATAAGGAAATACTATGAACACTTTTGCCCTAGCACCTCTTTCTTAGAGCAGAGCTTCCATCTAGTTTTTCTAAGCCTGATGGACAGGGCTCAGGTAAGTGTGTTTTATGATTATGCTTCTCCATATGAATATAGACTTAAATAAATTAAAATGTGAAATTTAAACTTTAAGTAATTTTTACTAGAAATATAAATGCTACAACTTTTTAAATTTAATTTTAGGTACATATCCATTTTTAAGGCAACTGTAAAAGATGACATGCAAAAAGCTAAAACTGCAATGAAAACTATGGGACCAGCAAAAGTTGAAATACCTTCTCCAAAGGATTTCCTAAAGAAACATTCAAAGGAAAAAACTCTACCACCCAGTAGGTTTTATCATGCTTTTTAATATTAAAAGCTTTAGCAGGTGATTTAACTATTATTGTATTGTTGATGAATATTAAACGTGCACAGGTGATAGCAGCTTTACCTCATATTAAACAGAATTTGACTAGGAGAAAGTGGAAGTAGAGAATGGAGTAGAAAAAGAGAATGGAGAATGATAAATTGCCCCCACAAATAGACTTTTGATTGGGTTTGGACTATCCAATGAAGCCCACATGCCGAACCATCTTAGTCCCTAGCTGTGGGGCTTCAATTATAAACAACAATTATAGGAAGAGTCAAGACCCCAGAGACAGTATCTGACTAATGGGCAAGATTGCCCAGCATCTAAACCCTGTCTGGCCTTTTCTCCAACAGATGAAAATTACAACCATTACTACCAGTTGTTGAAGCAACTACTAGACTCACTTTTGAGTATAGGCTTTTACTCTTCCAGACCTCTAAGATCAACTGGACTGTAATGAGTTAGATGTAATGAAGGAGGCTTCATGAATAAGTGGTAGAACCAGCTTAGGGCCCCATGCCTATTTTAATGCTGTAGTCTTGCTGTACTAAAATTTTTAAATTTTGATCAAGTAGCCTTGTGTTTTTATTTTTTACTGGGCCTCAAAAATTATAGAGTTGATCCTAGTTATGGAGTCTATTGAATGATTTCAGGAAAGAAAGCTATCAGGGAAAGGGAGAGTAGATGAAAAGTGATCTGTGACAGGTTTGCATGGAAGCAATTTCTTCACAACCCAGGTATGTCTCCCCAGATGTCTTAGGGTAATAAAGAAAAGAGAGCACCTGGGCAATACAGCAAGACCCCGTCTGTACAAAAAATTTTAAAAAATAATTAGCTAGGTGTGGTGGCATGCACCTGTAGTCTTTGCTACTCTGGAGGCTGATGTGGAAGGATCGATTGAGCCAAGAGTTCGAAGCTGCAGTGAGCTATGATCAAGCCACTGTCTTCCAGCCTGGACAACAAAGTGAGACCCAATCTCAAAAAAAAAAGAAAGACAGAGAGAGAGAGAGAGACAGAAAGAAAGAAAGAGGAAGGAAGGAGGGAGGGAGGCAGAGAGGGAAGGAGGGAAAGAAGGAAGGAAGGAAAAGAAGGAAAGGAAGGAAGGAAGGAAGGAAGGAAGGAAAGGAAGGAAGGAAGGGAGGAAAGAAGGAAGGAAGGAAGAAGGGGGAAAGGAGAAAGGGAAGGGAAGGGAAAGAAAAAGAAAAGGAAAGGACAGAAAGAAACGAGTCTGTGTCTTCAAAATGTTGGCTTTTTATGTCTGCTGGCATCAAGGAAATAATGCAACATCTCAAGCCCAGCTAGAGATGTACATTTTAACAAAAGTGAAACTACTTCTCTTTATGGCAGTATTTAATGTCCCCAAATCCTCTCTCAACCCATATCTCATGACAAAGGGTAAGGGCACTATGAGGCAAGATGGCAAGATGGAAGAAGCAAGTGTGAAAATACAACATTCATCCTTCATTCGTGACTTCAGAAGTCTCTTTTGTATCTTCCTCTAGTCTTGGCCTATTGTGCCCCAGCATTCTATGACTAACAATACCATTTGAGAATATAGGAAAATCTTAAAGTGAATTTGATGCTTTCAATGCCTTAGGACCACTGGTATCCCTCGGGTCTTCATATAGCCTCTCTAGGGTTAAACATATGATATAACACAACCATATATATATATATATATATATATCTCCTTTGTGTCAAATAAGAAATAAAGGAAGAAACCTATCATTTTATAAACATTTTAAGGCAAAAGCAAACCCAAAATTCCATTGACCTTTAGAGTAATTCATCAATTCGGGGTGTTAGGGCTGGGCACAGTGGCTCATGAGTGCAATCCCAGCATTTTGGAAGGCCAAGACAGGAGGATTGCTTTAGCCCAGGAGTATGAGACCAGCCTGAGCAACAAAGTGAGACCCTATCTCTATAAAAATATTTTTTTTAATTAGCTAGGTGTGCTGACACACGTCTGTGGTCCCAGCTATATGGGAGGTTGAGGTGGGAGGATCACCTGAGCCCAGGAAGTTGAGGCTGCAGTGAGCTATGATTGCACCACTGCACTCCGGCCTGGGTAACAGAGTGAGACCCTGTCTCAAAAAAAGGGAGAGAAAAAAAGGAAGACATGCAGGGTTTTGCAAGAGCTTTAAAAACTCAGTCCAATGACAGTTCTGGAGGACAGTTCTGGAGAACTAGAAGTTCAATATCAAGGTGTCAGAGGATTAGTTGATTTTTGCTTTCCTTTTTGGGGGGTATTTTTATTTGTTTTTATTTTTAGAGATGGGGTCTATGTTGCACAGGCTGGAGTGTGTGGTGGCTCTTCATAGGCATGATGAAAGCACACTGCAGCCTCATACTCCTGGTTTCAAGCAATCCTCCTACCTCAGCCTCCCAAGTAGCTGGGACTGCAGGCATGCAACACCACACCCAGCAGGGTTGGTTTCTTTAAAGCATCTCTCATTGGCTTGTAGATGGTTATCTTTTCTCTGTATCTTTACACGTTCTTCCTTATATGTATGTCTGTGTTCAAATTTCCTCTTCTAAGGACACCAGTCATATTGGATCAGAGCCTTCTCTAATGACCTCATCTTGACTTAATTACCTCTTTAAAGACCCTTTCTACAAATACTGTTACATTCTGAGATACTGGGGTTTAGGGCTTCAACATGTGAATTCTAGGAGGACATAACTCAGTCCCTAACAAGAGGCTAATCCAGTTTATAGACTTGACAATAAGTATTGGCTTTGCTGATAATAAAAGTTATATAAACTCATAATAAAGGTCAAATTATGCATAAATGAATAAAGTCAGTCCTTAGTAATGGTGATGGGGTTAAAATTGGAATAAGGCATTTTCAAGATAGCTGTTGCTTTCAGTTCTTAAAAATAAATTATTTCACATTTTTGCATTGTGGCAAACCATTTGGCTATATCAAAATAGATCAATGGGAATGATCAAGCTGAAGAGGCTATGTAAAAATGGCCAATAAGCAAGAAATACTTCTTCCGTGTATATACTGTTCATATGTATGTGTGCGTGTGTGTGTGTGTGATCTTTTTTGAGACAGAATGTCACTCTGTCACCCAGGCTGGAGTACAATGGCACGATCTCGGTTCACTGCAACCTCTGCCTCCCAGGCTGAAACAATCCTCCTACCTCAGCCTCCTGAGTACCTGGGACTACAGGTGCACACCATCATGCCTGGCTAACTTTGCATTTTTTGCAGAGATGGGGTTTCACCATGTTGCCAAGACTGGTCTCGAACTCCTGAGTTCAAGTGATCTGCCCGCCTCAACCTCCCAAAGTGCTGGGATTATAGGCATGAGCCACCGTGCCTGGCCTTCTCAACATGCTAATTGATTATGTTGCCCTTAATTTATTTCCATTTTAATTACTGGCTTTTTTTCTTTTTAAAAAATTATTTTATTGAGGCATGATTGACAGGTTAAAAGCTGTGCATATTTGATATCCACAAGTCAATGAGTTTGAGGATAAGTATAAACTTCTATCTTAAATATTTAAATATATGATGACTAAAACTTAAATATACAAGTGGCAAAATATCTGGATATTATAAATAGTACTGAGTAGCAGTGTTTGTAGTTTAATATTAACAAAGAAATGTTATATTTAACAGAAAAAAAGTTTGATCGGAACATGCCCAAGAAGCCTGCTGTGCCATTGAGGACTGATCATCCTGTCATGGGAATACAGAGTGGAAAAAATTTTATAAATACAAATGCAGCCGATGTCATCATGGGAGTGGCTAAAAAGCCTAAACCAATTTATGTTGATAAAAGAACGGGAGACAAGCATGATGTTGAGCCTTCAGGACTAGTTCCAAAGTACATCAATAAAAAGGTAGCCTTGTGGTATATTAATGAGAGGGCTGAGATTCAAATAATTTAAATATGGTGTTCATGGTGATCATCTATATTATCATGATTAGTGCTCTCATTGGACACATTGTCTACGTTGCTGATTCTCATTCTTCTGCAATCTGTGTTTGGTCCAAATCTAATGTGATAAAGTTACAAAGAACTCGTAGTAAACAATTCCGTATAGTTCAGTAGATAAAAGTTATTGTTGTTTTCCTTAATTTTGGTTATCAATATATTTAACAATTTCAATAAACATTCTCTGAAAGATATTTTTGGTTAGGTGGAAATGTCACTAAAAGCAGTCATTACTGTAAATCTAGAAGGAATAAGCTGTCAGATGGCCTTAAGATTTAGTCATTAATTACAGTAACTTGGCAGCTGAATAAGAAAAATGAAGCAGAATGCAGCTTTAGAGCCATCCGTCTCATCAGAGTAGTATAAATAATTCACATTCCTATTTTAACGTGAATATATTTATTTGGTTTTGGGTTTTGGGTGAAGACTTGAAAGTACTATACAATAATCTAGTCATTTTGGGTCCTTCATTTGTATCTGAAAAGGTGTATAATTTCATTGGTGAACATTATAGTTTAAATATAGATTTTTGTTTTTTGAGACATATTCTCATGCTGTTTCCTAGGCTGGAATGCAATGGTGCAATCTCAGCTCACTGCAACTTCCAGCTTCTGATTCGAGTGATTCTCCTCTCTCAGCCTCCCAAGTAGCTGGGATTACAGGCATGCACCACCAGGCCTGGTTAATTTTTGTATTTTTAGTAGAGAGGGGGTTTCACCATGTTGGCCAGGCTGGGCTTGACTCCTGACCTCAAGTGATCCGCCCACCTCAGCCTCCGGAAGTGCTGGGATTGCAGACATAAGCCACTGCGCCCAGCCAAATACAGATCTTTAAAATAAAAAAGCTTATAAAAATCTTATTTAATCCTACTTTATTTTGCATACTTATAAAGCTTAAAAGTGTTTGAAATACACAAAATATGAATGCAGGCTGGGCACAGTGGCTCACACCTGTAATACCAGCACTTTAGAAGGCCGGGCAGATTGCTCGAGGTCGGGAGTTCAAGTCCATCCTGGGCAACATGGTGACACCCCGTCTCTACTAAAAGTACAAAAATTAGCCAGACATGGTGGTGTGTGCCTGGAATCCCAGCTACTCGGGTGGCTAAGGCACAACAATCGCTTGATCCCAGGAGGCAGAGGTTACAGTGAGCCAAGGTCGTGTCACTGCACTCCAGCCTGGGTGACAGGGCGAGACTCTGTCAAAAAACAAACAAAAAGAGTGCAAAATTCTAAATAATAAGTTGCGTCAAGAAGAAATGAAGGAAGGGAGGGAGAAAGGAAAGGACAGAAGGAAAAAGGAGGAGAGAGATAAGGAAAAAGGAAGAGAGATAAAAGAACAAAAGAAAAGAAACTGCAATAGTGATGTACAGGGGCCTTGAATTAAAGAGTCCAGCGATCTACCATGATGAATCCAATGCCAGAGGAAAATCAAAACAGGACCCTCAAGGCTGTTTTCAGAGGACACTGTCTTCTCAGGAATCTAGGAGTTTGCAGGATAAGCCAATAAAGTTACTTCAGGCTTCTCCAGGTACTTCCTCCTTCTGTGGCCCCTGGAAACTGTTTTATACTCCTTGTCCCACAGGATAGGGAAAAGTGGAAAACTCACTCTCCTGGCTCTTAAAGCCACTTCCAATCCGTTTTTTCTCCATGATTATATGAAAAGTCTTCGATGGTCATGCCACCACCTGCCACACACTCTGCCCCTCCTTCTGGCTGCTCTCTAAGCTGTCCACTTTATTGCATTTTCTAACTTCAACAGGAAATTTGAAGTATCCATCCTGGAAAGAGAAAAATACCAGATCTGTCTATGCTCATTTACCAAGCCATGAAAGCACCGTGCACATAATGTCCTTTCGGTGTTGCTGACTAGCAATCAGTGCTCACAAAAGACTTATTCAATCAGTTTTCCCTTATCAGAGTTAAGTTTTAAAGATCTATTATTGGTAGGTGAGATAGTAAATAAATTCTTTTAAAGTCAATGTCATATTTTTATAAAATGAGTGAACTCCTGTTTCAGTTCCAAGTGAATTATATGCCATTCGTACCATGAGAAACGATTTCTGAAAACAAGCAAGGATAGATGATCACATGAGGTATTTAGCAATAGTAGTAAAGACATTATTTCAAATTGTAACTCTGCCACTTAGTAACCGTGATTTCCAACAATCCATTGGATTTATCACAGGGTCGTAGTGAGGATTAAATAATATAAAATATATTGAGCACTTGGCACAAAATATGACACCTAATAAAAGAACAAAGAGTGAATATTATAATATATGCAATTTTATTAACAGTATGCATTAGCCTCCGGTGATTCAGCCCATAGAAATATTTCAGATCATTGACGCTTTTGCTCATTTGTGAGTTTTTTTCCTGAACTGTATCATGCCATTCTCTTTCTTTTTAAAAGAAAATGTAATTTAATTTTTTTTAGAGATGGGAGTCTCACTATGTTGCCCAGGCTGGTCTTGAACTTTTGGGCTCAAACAATTCTCCTGCCTAGCTGTCCCAAAGTGCTGGGGTTACAGGCATGAGCCACTGTGCCCAGTCATTCTCCTTCTTAAACAGAGTATGCCAAATATAACTTAATCTTTTTGCGATCCTGCAGAATCATCATGATGAAGCTCCATTATTGTTATTAAGTTGTAATGAGGTGTTTCCCTCAGTGTTTTCCGAAGTGGATTGGCCTGTCTCACTGCACCAACTGACGAGAATACTGGGCTCCCAGAGTCTATTTGTGTTGTCCTCTGCAGCTTCCAGACACATTTATATCTAGGATTTCTATCCCTTGTTCAGTCAGGATGGGTTAAGTTACACTGTGATGACAAACAACCCCCAAATTTCAGTAACTTAAAACCACAAAGTGTTATTGTTTGCTTTCGCCACATGCCCTTTGAGGGTTGTTACAGGCTCTGCTTCTTTTCCTTCTTCCAGGACCCAGAAAAATCTAAACATTGCTTGTCACTAGACCAGACAGGAAAAGACACAGCAAGTCATCCACTAATTCTTAAGGCTTCTATCCAGAAGTGGCAGAGGTCACCTCCACTGACACTGAGCAATTCGGGGCATATGGCTACATCTTACTTTATGAGGACAACACGGGAAAGTGTTGTCCTACCAAGTGTCCAAAAGGAAAACAGAATGTTTGTCAGAATTTTAATGACTACCATACCTCCCAACTGCTGCTTCTTCAGCGAGGTCCTTCCCGACCTCCTTGTTTATCTAAAATGGCCCCTAGTATTTTCTTTTCCCTCACTATCCTTATTTATTTTACTTCAGAACACATACATATTATTTCATTCTCTATTTTTGGTGAGTCTCTGTCACCATAGAATGCAAATTCCCTGAAGACAGAAACTTTGCCTTTTTTATTCACCAGTATACCTAACACCAAGTACATTCTCAAATATTTTTTAAAGAAGGAATACATAGTAGTCCTGTTTCTACACATGGTGAAATCAAACGCATTTACTAAGCTGAAAGAATCATAGCTGATGGTTTCACTGTCAGTCGCTGTGAAATGGGAAAAGTTGTCTTATTCCCCTTGCTGGGTGTACCATAGGGCTGTGGCTCACTTCTTCGGTGCCCCACTGCTTAGACCTCTAGGGGGAGCATGCAGACGGGCAGGTTGTGGGGCTCTGACTCCACAGCAGTGTCTATGGGTCAATGTTCGCAGCTCCTGAAGCCCCAGCGGGCATGTGTTACAGGCTGTGCTCTTTTAATTTAGCTGTCCATAGGCGGCTTGTGTTTTCTCAATTAGACTCCCTGCCTTATCACAAGGGCAGAGGGCTTCCAAAGGACTTTCTGTATCCCAGGATTCTTGCCTTGGTATCCTGGAAGAATTGGATCACACGTGGGCTTGGAGAATGAGTGCAAGGTGTTATTGAGTGGAAGTAGCTCTCAGCAGATGGGGGAGCCCGAAGGGAGATGGACTTTCCCTGGAGCCGGGCAGCTCTGTGACTCGGGCTCTCCTCCCACCACCCCGTCCAAACTCTGTGTCGTTCCACTGGTCGATGGCCTGCCAGCATGCCAGTGCCCAACGGTGTGCTCTTATGTTGGCATGCTCCTCTCGACCGCCTCCATTTATATGTCCTTCCATTGATGTGTTCCTCTCCACGTGCAGCCATTTGTGTGCCTGCCTGCTAGGTAGGGTCTTGGGGGTTTTTATAGGCACAGGATGGGGACATGTTTTTATAATGTTTTGGAAGATTTTGTCTTTTCTTTAACAAGACCACGAAAAAGAGACTTCAAAATATTCAAGATATTTCAGGTAAAAACTGAAGCACGTAGAAGGTGGAAGGTAGAAAAGCCAACTCTTGAATATCATATTCAAGATGTTTCAGGTAAAAACTGAAGAACATAGAAGGTAGAAAAGCCAACTCTTAGGAGTAAAGTATCAGCCAAGAACAGGCGTGGGAAACATTCAGAAAAGGAAAAACATTGGGAGGCCGAGACGGGCGGATCACGAGGTCAGGAGATCGAGACCATCCTGGCTAACACGGTGAAACCCCGTCTCTACTAAAAAATACAAAAAACTAGCCGGGCGAGGTGGCGGGCGCCTGTAGTCCCAGCTACTCGGGAGGCTGAGGCAGGAGAATGGCGGGAACCCGGGAGGCGGAGCTTGCAGTGAGCTGAGATCCGGCCACTGCACTCCAGCCCGGGGCAACAGAGCGAGACTCCGTCTCAAAAAAAAAAAGAAAAAAAAAAAAAAAAGAAAAGGAAAAACAAGCAACTGCAGTAACAACTCCATCTATTTATTTATTTATTTATTTAGAGATGGAGTCACACTCTGACACTCAGGCTGGAGCGCAGTGGCACCATCTTTGCTCACTGTAACCTCCGCCTCCCAGCCACCTGAATTCAAGAGATTGTCATGCCTCAGCGACCTGAATAGCTGGGACTACCAGTACATGCCACAATGCCCACCTAATTTTTGTATTTTTAGTAGAGACGGGGTTTCACCATGTTAGCCAGGCTGGTCTCAAACTCCTGACCTCAAGTGATCCACTCCCCTCAGCCTCCCAAAGTGCTGGGATTGCAGGTGTGAGCCACCATGCCTGGCCAATAACAACTCCATTTTAAAAGGCAGAAATCTACTAGCTCTCAACGAGGGGCGGGGGGAATCACTGAATTTTGTCAATTTACAGGGTTTTTAGCAAAGGCTTTAAGTCTGTACCATTTATTTTTCTCCCATCATCGGTTGATGTGTACACATATATAAGATTGCATACAAAATATTGATTACTTTTTTCTGCAAAATCTTCTTAGGATTATGGTGTCACACCTGAATACATATGTAGGCGAAACGAGGAACTAAAGAAAGCCCAAGAAGAATATGATCGCTATATCCAGGAAAACCTTAAGAAAGCAGCTATGAAAAGGCTCTCCGATGAAGAAAGAGAGGCGGTTCTGCAGGTGTGTGTTCTGCCATGTACATTCATCTGTAACTCTTTGGATCACCTCTGAAAGAAAGGTGTACCAGCACCTTGATGATTAAAGGCAGCACTTTGATTTTGAAATCAGAACAATCTCTTTGGATTACAGTTAAAAACTACATACAGCAAAGCTTACTCTTTGGAGAGAGCAAAAAGTTATAATATAGGGATTCACTGAATAATATTTTATTTCCAATTTGGTGAACTGTTTTTCTCCTGAACTACGGTTGTAAGGAAGCCTACCTTCCTCTACAATGAACACGCATGAAATGAGGCAAATAAAGCATTTTTATTTTCATTTTTATGCCCCTGAGTTTGTGAAGAATAATAAATTAGATATTTTTCACTAGATGGAGCTCTAGAATAATTGAAAGTGTCCTTAAAACAACTTTTTTTTTCTTTCCTATAAGCCACATGTCCAAAATTTTAAATAAACAGGTGTTAGGTTTCACATATGTTTCTCTTGTTTTTAATTAAATAGACTTAAAGATATATTTATATTGGGTTTTTTAATGCAGGACTTTTATCTGAAGCATTTAAAATATTAGGGGGCGTAAGCAGAGTTTCTGCTTCATCATTTGTATAAGTGTTTAATCAAGCACCTCTTTGGTTTTTATAGTCATACTTTCTCTTATAGAGGTAGAAATAATACTTAATTGTTTGGTTTTTTTTTTCATTTTGAAAACATCCCACGAAGCCATTTCTCGTGTCTTATTAATCTGTTGAAAAGTGGATTCATATGCTGATATAAATTCTTAACATTTTATCAATGTCATCATAATCCTCAATAAACATTTCTTAAATGCTAAACCCTGAGGATATTTTAAAAGGCATAAGATTTTTTTAAATGTCTACTATGGAGAATTGTGCAATTTAATTAGTGAGAGGTACTATGGATCTATGTACATGTATAGATGTGAATGTGCGTATGTATGCAGCTCCTAAGTTTCACAAGGTTCCAAGGCACTAGTCCCCCCCGAGGAGTATAGATCATTAGCTGGGCCTGAAAATGTAGAGTGACGGCGTGTCCCAGACATTAGGAGTGGCTCAAAGGCAAGGACGGTGTCTCTTTGCTGACAGCAGCATCCCCAGTGCCTAGCACAGTGCTCAGTGGAAACGCAGATGTTCAGAAATGGTCTGCTGCAAAGGAGGAAGGCAGACAGGCAGGAAGGAAGGCTGGCAGACATGGAAGTGAGAATTGGCATGTCATTTTCAGGGAGAGCTCTGGTCTGTGGCCCATTCTGTCTCTCTCATTTGGATGTTCCCATTTTCAGAAAGTATATGCCTTTGTGAAAGCCAGGATTTTACACCTAAATGATGCTGAAAAATAGGAATATGACGAAGAACTCAGAAGTGACAAGTCCTTCCCTTCTGTGTCTTTTTGGCTGCAGGAGATAAGCAGCCCTCAGCTTCCTATTACGGTCACTACAGAGTTACCCTTTGATGTGACAATAGCAAATCCTCCACTGGATGCCTTATGAGCCAGGGAGCAGAGCTGCCATAGTAACGAAGCCACTGGCCGGCCTCCTGATGAGCCCTGATCCTTCCCTGGGCAAGAGTTGCGTGTAGTTCGATGACAATCTGATTGTGTGCCCCTGAGTAAGCCACATTCTGCTCATTCTTCATAAAATAACAGTCTCATTATACCTGGACAGGATCGTCTGGTCTAGTGATTCCAAATTTCTCATTTTTAAAATGAGGGCTATATATATATATATATATGCTGTGTCACTCTACATTTTTCAGGCCAGCTAAAGATCTATAATCCTCCAGTGGTGACTGGTGCCTTGGAACCTTATGAAACTGAGGAGCTGCATACATACACACATTCATATCTCCACATGTACATAGATCCATAGTTCCTCTCACCAATTAAATTCCAAAATTCTCTATTTATACATATTTTATATATAAATTATATATGACGTATATTGTGTATATATATGTATATAAATATACACACACACACACACACACACACACACACACACACACACACATATATATATATATATATATATATAAAGTTTTTTGAGATGGAGTCTTGCTCTGGCACCCAGGCTGAAGTGCAGTGGCATGATCTTGGCTCACTGCAACCTCCACCTCTCAGGTTCAAGTGATTCTCATGCCTCAGCCTCCCAGGTAGCTGGAACTACAGACATGCACCACCACGCCCACCTAATTTTTTTTGTATTTTTTAGTAAAGATGGGGTTTTGCCATGTTGCCCAGGTTGGTCTAGAACTCCTGGCCTCAGGTGATCCACCCACCCCGGCCTCCCAAAGTGCTAGGATTACAGACATGAGCCACTATGCCCAGCCCTTAATACTAATACATTAAGCAGGCCCCTTTGTTCATTCGTTTATTTATTGAATATCTACTGTGTTCCAGCCAGAAGGATACTGTAGAAAGCAAAATAAACACAGTCCTCAGTGTCAGTGAACTTAGAGTTTGATTTTCATTTGTCCTCGGTCACAAAACTATCAAGTGCATCAACAGGGACCAAAACTCATTTACCAATTGCCAGGCTGGTGTTTCCCCCACTACAGAATACATACTTGCAGAGGAGGTAGCAAAGGGAGGCTGCATCGGTCAAGGCTCCAGCAGGAAATCGAAGGCACACTCAGCTAGGACTTGGAAGAGAACTTATGTTTGTTTATTTATTTATTTATTTATTTGAGACAGTCTTGCTCTGTTGCCTAGGCTGGAGTGCAGTGGCACAATCACAGCTCACTGCTAGCTGGGATACTACCATGCCTGGCTGGGTTTTTTTGTAATCTGTTTATTTCATTTTTTTATTTTTTATTTTTAGAGAGGGAGTCTCACCATGTTGCCCAGGCTGGTCTCAAATTCCTGGCCTCGAGCAACCCTCCTCCCTCAGCCTCCCAAAGTGTTGGGATTACAGGCATGAGCAGTGGCCACTGAAGAGAATTCATGAAGGAATTATTGACAGAAGCGAAGTAGGGTTAAGGGAACCAACAAGAAGCACTGAGGCACCCCAGGAGTAGGGACAATAGGAATTAACCACCACCTAGGCTTGAAGGGCAGCAGGCAGAAGAAGCAGTGCTCTCAGAATCCAGTGAGAGCTGGAGCTGGGCTGAGGGTCACAGTCATAGATGAATGCAGCTAGAACCCGTGTCCAGACTGTCCTAGGAGAGGAGGAGAAATGCCCCAACCTCACTGTCCGCCCTCCAGGGCTTTCTGTGGCTGAACTGGGGCCAAAGGGCAAAAGAGCTGGGAGCACCCCATAAGGTGGAGAATGTTTGGGGGTGGCGGGGGGTGCAAAAGGAGCATGAAACTGAAGGCCCTTCTTATTATAAGATCACTTCTCCCTATCTGAATTTTTTCCAAAATGAACAATATTATTTCAGCATTAAAATAGAAGAGAGGAAAATTAAGAAATAAAAATAAGGGAAAATCGCTATTGCTGCAACACATGAAATATCTTTTTAGATGAAATAATGAAAAAACCTCTTAAAGTCAGCAAGTAGCCTATTTCAGTATAATATGAAATATTTGCTACATTTAGTTTCCATCCCTGACTGTTGACTTTGATCCAAACGTTATTGTACACACTGGAAGATAAAAGCAAACTATCCTTTAAAAGAAAATATGGAGGAAAACTGTAGCTGCTGTGACTGCAAGTAATATGGAAATATCACCCAACTAGCTATGAAAAACCTTTGATATCAGCAAGTGTACAAATACATAGACTTCCTCTCTGCAATAGACACCCCTGTGGAGCACTGTGGGAACCTATTTCACATTCCATAATGAAAGGCTGTGGAGAAATAGAATTCTTTTGAGGGCTTCTTTTTGGAATACATCGCATACACTATCAAGAACTGTGTAGCCTCCTCTTCTTAAATTTTAACCTGGATACTTTTTCTTCTATCCTTTTCCTTTCCCAGATCCTTAGCTCACTCAAGAAGGTCTCATAATTTGTTGCCCCATTCCCCAACCAACCTCTTCTATACGGTGTGCCATGACCTGTCATCAGCCCTTTTATCGAAGCATGGAAATAAATCATTGAAATTTTATTGTCCCCGGAAGTTTCTACAAGATTAAATTTGTACCGTGAGAGCTTACGATGAAGGCATTATTATATGAGTCACTTCTAATCCTCTTTTACACCTATATGTACAGCCATGGTTTTCAAGGACCATGTTTTCTAGGTAGTATTTTCAGTTTTGGGGTTTTGGTTTTGGGTTTGCTGTCAGGCAGGGTCTCACTCTGTTGTTCAGGCTGGAGTGCAGTGGCACAATCATGGCTCACTGCAGCCTCAACCTCCTGAGCTCAGGTGATCCTCCCACCTCAGCCTCTCAGGTAGCTGGGACCACAGGCCCATGCTACCATACTTGGCTATTTTTTGTATTTTTTGTAGAGACAGGTTTTTGCCATGTTGCCCACACTGGTCTCGAACTCCTGGACTCAAGCAATTCACCGTCAAGGCAGTATCTTAAATTGCACTTTCTGTTTTGCTTTTGTGTAAATAAAATAATCTATGTGCCCATAATGAATAATTAAAAAGTGTTGACTTATAAAATTTCATTGAATTAATTTAATTAGTAGTTTAAGACCATTTTGTCTATGGAGCCCATAGGGCACTGTGATTAAAAATGGTAATTATGCAGAAACAGAAATAACCTTTATTGCTCCTAAGAGATCCCTAATTTTACATTTGTTGATTTGTGAGAATAGAAAACGTTAGCTACATTACTGAATTAGCATGTGTGTTACATTTAATGACCTTTCAATCATTTATAGAATATATTAATAGGAACTATAGATCCCTTAACTATATAGAGGGCAGTTGGTTCTTTCTAATATATTGAAAAGACACTTAGAAGATCTTCTTTTGTGCAAGTGAATTTCAGCAATTTTACAAATCCCATTTGTTAGAAATAAGAAAATATGGCCATGAACATCAGAATTAGGTCTTTTGATGTGATTTCTCTGTTGAAGAATGAAGATAAAAAAGAAAATTTTACAAAACAATTTCCTGTTCAAAAATGTTGTTCTAAGTTGTTTTTTACCCACATATTTGCTATGAGCTTTAGCTTCACACTACTCATAACTCTGCATGTGCATTTTTGATGGTAAAAACAAGTACAGTAACAACAAAAACAGAGCAAACAAATACTCCCAGTGGGAACTGAGCACACAGTCAAGGATGGGATTTGGCCTCTGTACAGTATTTTTGGTTACTGTGGCCAAGTACTTGATAAATACATTTCATTTTAGAAGTTATTTTTGTCAGTTTCTTTTACCTATTGACATTTTTCATTACCGATTAACTTTTCCAATTTCCTTTACTTTTGCAGTTTGCTTTGGTATTTACAAGTTTCTTTGACCATTTGCAGGGGCTGAAAAAGAACTGGGAAGAGGTGCATAAAGAATTCCAGTCCCTCTCGGTCTTTATAGATTCCATACCAAAGAAGATCCGCAAGCAGAGGCTGGAAGAAGAAATGAAACAACTGGAACACGACATTGGTGTAATTGAAAAGCACAAAATTATTTATATTGCCAATAAGTAAGAATGGATCTTTAAAGTATAGCAATTTCAATGCAGGGAAAAAAAACATGGAAAATATAAAAATAAAACTCCACGTTTTTCAAAAAGGAAAATACTATGAAGATAATAAAAATAGACTTAATCAGAATGCTTAGGCAATGTGCAAAGAATAATTGAGTTATTCACTTACACAAGAAGAAATTTTGTTTTTACTAGTGTCACCTTTTCCACATATAAACTATTACATTTGAGAATATGTGTTCCAGTTCCACAATGTAATTCATTATTATTACATGTTTCACATAAACATTAATTTCTAGGTACTGAAAAATAAAGTCAGCACTCAAAACTTCACTTTTTTTTTCCTGCAGTGCATGATACCAACAGCACAACTTTGAAAACTGTTAAGTATTTTGAACTGGAAATGGTAACATGTGCCTTCTTACTACTCTAAGTGTCTCCAACACATTGTTTCTGAACTCCACAAATGCAAAAGATGTATTTTCCTGTGGCCCATGACATTTGCAGTTATTCCAAGTGATAAATATTTTCAGTATTCATAACACTGTATATGATGAAAGGCTTCTATTTGGAGGAAGAAAAATTAAGAAGATAACTTACAAAATCAAGACTACAACTTGTAAAAGGCATCACTGAGGATGATTAAGGAGAATAGCCTCCTTTCTAGCATACTAACTTCGATATTCTTGTTTTATTCCACAACTCACTATGCATATCTTATTTAAATGTTTTTTTTCCTTTTGGTCCTTTCTACTTATCTATTTTATGAATTCTAAAGTTACATTTGTAAGATTACATAATCTATTAAGCAATAAGTTTATGTTAGTAGAGCTGTTTTCAACCCAAAATAAGAAAAATAGCTCTAAATATCTAGGAGGAAAAAGTTATTTTATGAAATTTTAAATTAGAAAAATTGGGTAAAATATATGCAACTATAAAATATCAGAGAAGTAACCATTCCTACTACTTACACTGGTTTTTATCCTCTGGACAACATGAAAAACAAAATATGGGAGTCTTTCAAGCTTTTTTTGCAAACACAGAATTTGGAAGCCTTATAGAAAAGCTTATTTTGGCTACTTAAAGAAAAATAGTTCACATACAATTTTTTTGAAGATTCACTTGAAACTTGTCTGTATGAGTATCTTTATTCCTTTATTAACTTAGGGTGGATATAAAATAAAGGATAATATATGATACGTTCTCACTTACCAAGAATGGTTGGTTGCTATTTAGGGTAGGCTAACAGCTGTGATAGTACACTCCAAAATGTATAATTACATAAACATATATTCAATTCTTGCTAACATAGCAGTGCTTTGCTGTGAGCAGGCCAGCAGGAACCCTTTTCTGCAGTCACTCAGGGACCCAGACTTACAGAGTGGGTAGGATGCACCTGATCCAGAGTTAGGGAGAGGCATGTACAGGCCAGGCCTAGAAATGATGCATATCATTCCCGTTTGCATCGCTAAGTAAGCAACTTAAGTTACTTTAACAAACTAACTCCAAATCTCAGTTGCCTGATACAGATACATTTTTCATGTACATCACTGTGCAATGCGACCAAGGGTGGGGGTATAACTCTGTTCCCTCAGTCACTCAGGGGCCCACTCTCCTTTTGTCTAGTGGCTCTGTTGATCCAGGCAGCCTTTCTCTGCCAGTTCAGGATGAGATGTTTAGGTAAGTATTTTATTTGTGAAATGATTGCTATACATACTCATTTTTAAATAATTCAAAATCGGTAGCAATGCAAAAATATTCTAATTACTTTAGCCTTATGGATATTATGCTTTGAAGTCATGAGTGGGAGTTGCCTTAAATGTTAAAATGAAAACTTTGTGGTTTTAACAGCTAATTCTTTTGCCTTCTGTAAATGTCTACTAAAGAATCTAGACTTTTCTCTATGGTCTACACTGTTGTCCTAGATGGACATTGTTGCTTTTCTTTCACACAGCCTTCAGAGTGAAACATTCCCATCTATTGTTCCTGGGAGGGTGATCCCTACCATGGGATCCCAACTTTGGATAAAGCCAGTTCAACCTCCCCCAATCCATACACATATATACGTGGGTCATCCTATCACCCAGAAGAGGGACAAACACCTGACTTGGACAGCTGGCCAGTGACTGATCAGATTCTCTCTCTCTCTTGAGAGCATGAATTAAGAGACATGGAGACTGCAGTCACTTGGGAGTAGACACCTGAAACTAAAAAGTCAAACTTCATTATGCAGCTAGTTTGACTTGGTTTCTCTTCCTGTTCAAAGGAAGAATGGGTAGAATAAAGATTTGATGTGGTCTGGCCCCTTGTCTGTGATCTTTTTAGCTTGATTTCTTGAAATGCTGCTTCTTCCCTACCCATTGTAACTGGCATTCCGATAGTACTGAGGTACTAGAGGCCTCCCAGATCTGCACACATGGTTCCCTCTGCCCAGAAAACTGCCTTTTTCTTTCTCTCATCCTACATAGCTGCCTGGCAAATCCCTAGTCTTCATCAGCTCACATCACATTTCCATGACAATCCTCTTTGATTCCTCAGAATCTGGTCTTCCTTTATGGCACTGGTCATATTGTATTGTGCATATCTGGTTATTTGCCTGTTTTCCATGAAATTGCAAGCTTGTGGGGGAGAAGACACTGTGTATCTTTTCATCTACATTCCTTAGAATCTGCAGGACAGCTGGTATAGAGAAGATACTCAAAAAATCCTTAATGAATAAAGTAATGGACCGTACCCAAACATGTATTTTAATGATCTCTTGACATTATTATCATGACATAAGTCAGAGTTGGAGGATAGAGAATTTGACTACTAAACAAACCAGATGATTCCATACCCATCAGTTAACACATAATCAAAGTAGGAGGAGGCAATTTCACATAGTGCTTAAGAGCTCAGATACTGAAGTCAGGCGGCCTCTGGTTTGCATTCCAGCTCAGCTGCTTATTAAGTATGCTACATAACCTTTCTAAACCATGTTTTCCTTTTCTGTAAATGGGGTTGTTAACCCATTCCATGATCTGTAGAGTTATGATAAGAATGAATGGAACAATATGTGCATAACAGCATAGTCCCTGGCATGTAGAAAGACAACTTAATACTATGACTTACTATTAAGAACTCTCAATTCCATAGTCCTTTTGTCCAGTTGGTGCTAGGCCCATTAACATCAATAGAATTTCCCACACCCATAAAATCTGGCTGCAGAAAAGGACTTGTTTGAACTGCTTAGAAGTTCTAGCCTGAGATTAGCCTAGCCTGGTTAATCTCTTCAGTGGCACACACAGATGATAACTATATTTGGTAACTTTTATCTCTAGTAACTGGCAAAAATTTGGCAATACATCCTAAGTTACTCAGCACAGGCATTCCAAAAAGATAGATAAGCTTAAATCAGTAATGATGCCAGAGAGTCACTGAGAAAGGTCTGCAAGGTTGTGTCCAACAAAGCCTCATGGGTGATATTTATTAGTGAATTAATGTGTCCCAGGACCTGACCTGAGGACCCATGCTTCCCTGTTCTCAGAAACTCAGAGTCAGACACACATGAATTAAAGTCTATGTGAGCATGAGTTATTGCCCGAACATCAATTTTTAAATTAAGAAATACCTCTCAGCTAAATAAATCTCCATAATAAGTGCATTCTGTCCCAGTTGTCAAGCTATGTGGGAAGAAAAATCGTAATCAAAAGGTACCTTGGGCCAGGCACGGTGGCTTACGCCTGTAATCCCAGACTTTGAGAGGCTGAGGTGGGTGGATCTGTTGAGATCAGGAGTTCAAGACCAGCCTGGCCAACATGGAAAAACCCTGTCTCTACTAAAAATACAAAACTTAGCTGGGCATGGTGGTATGCACCTGTAGTCCCAGCTACTCAGGAGACTGAGGCAGGAGAATCGCCTGAACCCAGGAGGCGAAGGTTGCAGTGAACCAAGATGGCACTGCTGCACTCCAGCCTGGGTGACAGAGCGAGACTCCATCTTGAACAAACAAAACAAACAAAAAATACCCAACAAGTACTTTGGCTAAAACAGAGCCAAGAGAAAAAAAATTATTTTGTAAAAAGTCTGTCAGCTGATATAGCTCACTCATTATCATTCAACCCATATTGACTGCCATGTGCCAAGAACTGTTCTAGTTGCTAGGCATATAATGGTGAACAAAATAGCTATGTTGGGAAGACAGAAATAATCACACAAATATAATGCATTTATAATTAGAAATTGAAATTAGTGTTTTGGAAGAAAAAAAAAAAACAACAGGATGCTATGCAAGAGAATATCAAGGGAATCCTAAATCAGATTTTGTAGGCTCTGACATTTTAAATGAGACTGAAGAATTAGTGGAAGTTGGGAAAAGCTGAGAAGAAAAGGGTTGCAGAGGGGAAAGAATTCCAAGCAGAGAGAAGAATGTGTGAAGGATTTGGGGCAGGAAACCCTTGACGGATAGGCAAGACAGCCATGGGGCTGGGGTGAACTTAGAAAAGGGGAGAAAGCTGCAAGCTGAAGAGGAGGAAAGCAGGCACCACTGATGCGTTTTAAGCAGAGAGGTGGCACGAGGCAGTCAGTATTTGTAAATGATCATTCGCTATGTGGACTGAAGTGGAAGATCAGATGAGCATGGGGAGACTAGTTAGTAGACTACTTGGTAAAGAAGATAGTGGCACAGACCAAGGTTGTAGTAGTGCAGATAAAGAGTAGCTGTTGGCTTCAATAAATATTTAGGAGGTAAAAATATAACTTGGTGATGGATTGAACGGGGGAAGAGGGAGGTTTCAAAATTGACAACCAAATTCTGATTTGAGCAGCCAGGCAGTGGGGCGGCAAGCGGTGGGGCTGCCGTTTTCTGAACTGGGAAAACCTAGGGAAGGAGCAGTTTAAGAGAAGAATGTGGTAAAGATATCAAGAATATGATTTTAAACATGTTAGGCTTATGAAAATTGTGGCATCTAGTTGGAAGTTTAGATCAAGAGACAGAAAGATACATTGAAAGAGCGAGAGCTTTGTATCAAAAGAGAAGTGGGGTAGACCTGTATGTTTGCAGATTCATCAGCGTGAATGAGATCACCTTGGGACAAACTGAGAAGGCAATGAATGAGCTCTCAGCAACTACCATTTAGAGGTAAGGTGGGAGAGAAGGAGTCCGTAGATGAAAGGCCAAAACAAAGTTTAGTGTCCAGAGAGGTCAAAAGAAAACCAGGAAGCCAAGAAAATTCAAGAAAGGAGCACCTTTTCCCTAAAGTAGATCCTTGACAATGGGAATGACATTCTCAACACCCTGGCCAAGACTTTCTCCTGGCTCTGAGTAGGACACAGGTCAACGTCTACACTGATACCCTGGCCTCTGTTTCATTATTTGTAGTCCAAACTCCACCATTGAATCCTTTGCTCTTTCTAGACATGTTAATGCCATTAACACTAGTCACAACATTAGTATGGGATCCACCATGCCTATTAACACAGTCCACAGTAATACAGTTTGAATACCAAATTGAAGGAAACTTTTCAAAAGGTCAAAGACATTTTTCAGCAGTTAAGGAGGCCAGTGCTGGTGAACATCATAAGTAACTCTCAAGAGAACCATCTAATTTAGCTCCTTTCCAAGTTCTTTATTTGATTTATTTGTAAACACTGGTTACTCCCTGTAAGAGACAAACATAGATCAGGGGGAAAAAAAGAGCCAGATAATTTTTCTGGAGAGTTAGTTTCTTTCTGTTGAAATGTGCTATGGTTTAAAAAAAATCAGCAGGTCTGACTGACAGCAAGTTATGTAACTTTTGGAAAATCACTTAGTAAGTCTCAGCCTCATTTTCCTTATCTGTAATACAAAGAAACAGAACCAGATTTTGTCCAACCCTCCTTCCAGTCCTAATGGTCCATAACTATAAAACTCTAAGACTATTTCAAGTTACTACAAACAAGAGTTTGGTCTCCAAACTGATCAGAATGCAGGAAAGCCCTGGTGGATACAGAACCAATGATTTGCACCAACACGTGTCAACCCAAGAACATGATTTGACAAACTAGAAAGAATGTTAAGTAAAGCAAGAACTGTCACTAATTTTTCAGTGTTTTCAGATGAAAACTTCCTTAACAACAGTCATTTGAGGTTTTCAACCACAGAGTGTTACTTTTCTAAGTACTTTAAATACATGGTCTCTCTAGGAAGCCAGTGCTATTATTTATAAAAAGAGAGAGAGAGAGAGAAGGAGAAGAAAAGAAGAAGATGGAGAAAAAGAGGTAAAGGGAGAGAGAGAGGAGAGAGAGAAAGAGGGAACAGGAGAGAGAGGAGAGAAGGAGAGGGATGGGAAAAGAAAAGTAAAAAAAGGAATGGCATGTGTTCTTTTATCTAGAATGAGAGTTTCCAATGATAGAAGAACATTCTATGCTCTTAGGACAATGTCTGAGGCCACGAATTTAAAAAAAAACTGTGTGTTCATAATTTTAAAAATTGTTGAGTGAAGCCAAAGGGAATAGCATTTTTTTCTTTCTACATAACGTGCTTGATGAGAAAGAACTGAGATTAGCAACAGAGTAAGTGAATACCAATTATACCTGCAAACTGAAAGATAGTGTTTCACAGGACTGGTGTAAAAAGGCCATGCACATACTAATTTTTAAAACTGCACATGCAGATATGGCCTTTAGATGTAGATTTTTTATTCTAAAGGAGGTGCCGATATAGAAAACAAGGGTAGTATATTTTTTCTTCAAACTGCCTTACCTTAGGCACTCAAGTCAGTGATGTCTGTGAAGCAAGAACATATACTTATCTAAATGATATTGCTGATGTGAAAAACATCTGTGGAATTCTTTTGGAATAAAAAATATCCATCCCATTCCTGAACTTCTGCTACCAAGTTCTCTTTTCTTGAGACAACTAATGTTATCAATTTTTAATGTAACTTTTCTATAAATATTATATAAAAACAAATGTGTATATATATACACACAAACATAATAATTACACACACATATGTATATTCATCTCACTTTTTAAAATTTAAATGAGAGCATGCAATAACATTTGCCTTTTTCAGTTACTAATGCTGTAAAGCTCATTTTTTTATTCATACATATTCTTCATTCCTTTTTGTAGATGCATGGTGTTGAATTGTGTAGGTGTATATATTTCACCAGTACCCTATTGATGGACATCTAATTGTTTTCATATTTCCTATTAAAAGCAATGTTGCAGTGAACGAGCTTGAACATTGCACTTGTTGATTTTATTAGGAACTAATTTTTACTTTGCTGTTTTTGCCTGTGTGTGATTAGGTAATGTATATACATGACCTAAAATGTATAATTTACCCAAAGGTAAGTAGGAAGAAGGCATCTTTCTCATGTCCCTTCCACATAAGCAACCACTATGACCAACTTCTTATTGTTCTAAATGTATACATTCTATGCATATAAGTATCCATAGTATGAAAATAATTATACATGTATCTATAGAAGAATTACACCTATTTGACAGATACTTGGTTTTCTTCTGTCATAGCCTACAGAGATCAGAAGACTCTTGTCATAAAAGGCATCATGTATGAGTGTAAGCCTTTATGTTAGGAATAGCTTTTTTATTGTTTCATTCTTTATCAACCACACACCATCAATATTGTGGATCTCATTAAGAAAGCAATGCTTTCCTTGATTTTCAATGCCTATGTTTTTATTCTGGATGGAAGAGGGGCTATGGATATGGGACACTCCCTGCCCTGTCCTTGGCCACACTGTGTTGAAT